GTCAGAATGAAGCAAGACAAATCTAGTACAGGCTGCCAGTCTCCAGTTTGATAACAAACAATCTGGAATAAAAGCTTGGAGAAAGATGATGAACAGGTGCAATGGCCTGTACAGACATAAAATGTTGTACCACCAAGTCATGGGGGAAGAAAAAGGGTACCAGGGACAAATAGGGCAGGGAAAGAAATAGTAGGACAAGTCCGTCTCTGATAAAACCCAAAGAACCCATAAAACTGTAATGAAAGATTGCCAAATGGTAATAATATAATATAAAAAAGCTCCCACTGGACTGGAACTCTCTGGTTAGTCTCAGGTACTGTTGGCAACATGCCCATCAACATTGAATAAAACAACAAAACGAGAAACCCTGGAAGGCGGACAAGGACAGGTAGATAAGGACCAGGACATCAAAGGAATAGGGGTATTTGTGGGTCCAACTGCGACAGACATGCAACCAAAAAGGAAAGGGTCGAACATTGATGCACAGATAACACACAAGATTCCAAAGCCTCTGATATATGATCGAAAACATATCACCAAAGAAAATACAGAAATCCCCAAAAGAAAGAGGCAGCAAATGTACCCATGACAAGGTCACATCATGATCCATAAAATCCCAACTACAGTGAAACCATGTGTGTAAAGCAAGAGCCAAAGATGACAAACAAGCCAACATGAAGGTAATAAGGAATCACAGAAAAATGGGAAATTGAATAAAAAATAACATACCTGAGAAAGCATGTCAAAAAATGCCATATTAAACCTTGCTGATTCTTCAGGAGGGGTATGGAAGAACATGGCAAAATCTGTGGGTGTATCAAATCAAAGGCTATCAAATCTTCACTGCCCTGAACAAGTTCACATGTTCAGGAGGATTAAAGGGGCAAGTTCAGGAGTAGAAGGTTGACCCATATGATAAACAATCTCACAATGGATAATTGCACTATTTTCACAGGCAGCAGGTGAGCCCGTCTTCCCAACCTGCAGCCTGTGAAAATAGTTCTAGAGGTATAACACCCTAAGTGGAAACATGAACCTCAGAATTCATTGTACAAATATGTGAATCAAAACAAAAATGTTTAATAGTAAAATATGACAAGTGTGAGAAAAAAAACACTGGGAAATTAAGTTAAATTAAAAGATTTATTCAATGTAAAGAAAAAAAATAATGAAGAAATCCCACTTTTTAAATTAAACTATCAAAATCAGAAGTCACACACAGAACTCCAAAAGAAAAAACATCTGAACATGAGTACAGCCAAACGACAAGTGATAGTTCAGTAGAATTGAACAGAGGGAATGACATGCATCATGAGGGTATGTCACACTATTATTGCTGGAGGATTGACGCATGATGATTTGCATGAGAGATACACTGGAATCAGTCAATTCCAAGGGAGAGGAGGTACTTTTGTAGTATGCATAATTTTTTTTCACATATAGAGGGCAGCACTGAACGAGAATAGCTATTTATGTGAGTGGCGGTAATGTATCATATCGGAATATTAGATTCCCTATCTTAGGACAATAACTGAAAAACATCACTTAGATAAGGAAGCCACAGGCAACCATCTTAGGACAACACAGCACAAAAACATCACCACTTGGATAAGGAAGCCACAGGCAATCATCCTCGAACAACACAGCAAAACAACAAGTGACTAAGGAAGCCATGGGTTTACAGTTTTATCTTCCCTGCGTGTCATGTCTGCCCATAACTGGAAAACTGCTGGATCAACCGTCATCAAACCTGAAAAGTACTGTTACGTCTCCGTTTGTTAATTAATTTTCCGTAAATTCGTTCCCACGAAACTTTAGCGACACAAGTCCTTTCTTAAATATAACTGGTTTATTCTTTCTGAATATAATTTTGCGAAACACTTAATTTCAACAGTCACGCTATAACAAACGCTATAATTCTCAACTGCTCGACTCCAACAATACGTAGTTCAATTACACATTCATTGTTCCATCACGTTGTGACCGTCTTATATATACAAGACTAACACATATCTAGTAATCTTCCGACAATTCATGAAGGTTCGAGAAGGACGAGGCGTGATACTAGTCACGTGACCTTGCTGACGCAACACTGCCCCCTCCTTAGTATTGTTCGTCCCGAACAATAGCCACTTACATTAAACCAATAACAATTAACATAAGATAGCTTCATCGAATCAGCGGACGTTTTCAAGTTTGAACGCACTTGATGGTAGATATCATCTATCCTTTCCGATAACACTTTCACAAAATCTGACACATTCTCAGGTAACTCTTCATAAGGTGGGAGTCCCTTATGCTTGGCTCCCCTTTTAGCACTACATGTCATGCACCATTCTTCCACATCTTGTCTCATACCTATCCAGTAAAATCTGTGTCGTAGGCGACTCAATGTTTTCTTAATTCCGAGATGTCCTTCTGTTAAAGTATCATGGGATTGACGCAGCACAACTTCCCGTAACTTTCTCGGTATAACTGTTTGCCAAGTCGTCAATTTCCCATCTCCGGAGAAGAATACCATCTTCAAGCTTTAACTGGTCCCATTGTGCCCAATAGTGCTTTGTCACAGGGCTTAGACTAGACACCTTCTCCCAAGCAGGGCACAAAACACTTGCTTTTAAAAAATCAATTATTGGCTTAAAATCTTGATCTTTCTCCTGCTCTGCTTTAATATCTATACCTGGTTCCACTTCGTCATCATCTACTTCTTCAGTCACTTTGACTTCACCTTGATGGCACCTAATTAGTTCAACCTCTCTTTTAACAGTTACCGGAACTTGGCCTTTGTTGTTCCCAAACATCATTTTATCAAAATCAATTACAAACTTCCTTGTCAGTAGATAGTCCAATCCTAATATGCATTCGTCTTCAATGTCAGCCAAGTATACTTTGTGTCTGTCCTTTATGCCCATGAGCTCGATAGTTACCCACACTGGTCCCCACAATCTTGTAGAATGTCCTGTCACACCATAAAGCTTCTGTATGGTTTCTGGTACTCCTTCATGATCTAACATCTTGATGCTCACAAGGGTTTGCTGAGATGCAGAATCTATGATAAAGTTGCACCTTTGGCCATCCAGCTTTCCTGTCACATAGACGCTGTGTGTGCTTGGCATTTTACACCTAGCTGTAGGGACTTTCATGATGGGGGTTGGTGAGTGTCCCTCTACACCAACCACTACTGGTCTCCTTGAGGCTGACTTGTTGGTTATATTCTTCCTACACTGGCTCCTCAAATGTCCGTGCTTTCCACAGTTCCAACAACCTTTCTGGATACCAGCCTTTCCTGCTGTGGCATTTCCCCTGTGTTGAAGTTGCCAACATTGAGCTCTCTTGTGCCCAGATTTGTTACAGTGCCAGCAAAGTCCCTCAAACCTCTCTGAAAGCTGACCAACCTTGGTACCTCTGTGCTGGACTTAATGTAGGATTCAAATTCGAGTGCGCTGGCCATTGCATCCTGAATAGTAGAGGGGTGTGCTTGCTTCAATTGTATCTTTAGTGGTGGACTGTCCA